TGAAGTGACTTGGGAGTGCTCAGAGCCCCCAAGAATATGGCCCTTTGGCCTAGTTCCACCTGCTATCTCCAAAAACCATGCCCTTTTCCTCAGGGACAGATCCAGAATGGAGTCATTTGTACCTATCCTTGGCTTTGCAAGTTGTGCCCACTTCAGAGAGTTTGGCCTCATCTCTCCAAGAGTACCTTGAAACAGGTCCACCATACAGGGCCTCTTTCCCTGCCCCTGAAGATTAGGGTAGGTACATAACCCCTATAGGGTGGAAGATATCTGTGCAGGACTGACTATGCCAAAGTCCAGATTAAATCCCTCACTAGCCTCATATGACCTAGCTGCTTCTTGAAGCCTAACCTGATTTAGTCTGACTGCTGATGCAGGTAACAGAATGGCTGGGCCTTCAGCAAGCCTGCTGCATTAATGCTTAAAATGTTCCCATTCCTCATAGGAAAGCTATTTAATGGAGGGAAGAGACAGATGTGTACTATTTGTAGTTAAGGGTCAAGCATGCATTCTCGGACCTAGTTCCTCATCTGTGATGGGGAGGTAGTGATCCACCAGGTCCTCAGATTTCTCCAGCACAGCTTCCACTCCACTCATAGCCATTTGGCCCACTGTGGAGCCCATGACTGTGCTCATGCTACTGGTCACCATTGATTTCACAGCCTCTATGCTGTCCTGAAGAGTCTCCTTGGTTACATCTACCACGTCGGTCATTCTGCTGCTCACAGCATCCACCTCTTTGGAGGACACCAGCTCTTTGGGCTCCAAGAGATCCTAGGGGAAGAAATCAAGTTGGTATAAAACTCCTGTTTCCACCTATGCTAGTGCTGTACTTCAGGGGCCTGACCTTGAGGAGACTGTACCAACATCTCCAGAGTTTTATAGCTGGCTGGGAGATGGAGTCTGGGCACCAGAATGAGTGGGAGCAAGTATTACTAGAGATTGTGGTTGGGTTTTTGACAAGCACTTAAGTGACTGACTCAATGGGACTTGAAATCAAACTGGGAGGAACTTTCATGAGCAGTCAGGAGTACATTAGTAGATTTAACTCTTTGCTCCTCAACTATATTCCCAGAGGATTTTAGTGGCAGGAATATTTATGGAAACAGCAGCTATTGAATATTTGCTCAGAGCAAATGTCACATTAAGCTTTATAGCTTCAGGCTCTCTGAGGATCAATTACGTCGTACACTTATCAGGGATGATATGCAATCTGACCTATATGCACAAGCATGACATCTTACATATTGAATACCTCACATGAACTAAATCTAAGAAGTGTCCAGCAGAGACTAAGGTGGGCTTGTGCCCTTTTGGGCTGCTTTAGAATGCCTAAGAGGACTGAGGAGTTTCAGGGTGGGGGGGGGGGAGAAGGGAGAGGAAGCCTTTAAATAAAGGAAGTTCAAGTCTCATCTGGCCTGAAAAGTTAATGAATCACTGCAAGGGTCATGAGACCTGAAGTTGTGCAGTTGAGGGGGAGAGTGGTTTTGTTTCTTTTTAAAGAAAAATCTACTCATGCAAAACATTCAGAGTTGAACAGCCACTTTCAAGTGTTGATCTCCCCTTCCCCGTCAAATGTTAAAATGTTTGCAAGCAAACATCTAACAGATCGCCCAGCTAAACTAAGACCAGACTGTTTGATATAAAGGTAAAAAGTCTTGAGAAAAGCCTCAGGTCTTCATCTATCAAAACATCAGGAGATGTCATGAGTCTTTGCTGGCCAACTTTAAGGTAGTTAAGATAACATCCATGTAATTTCAAGTAAAATGATCAAGGAACACTATCTGTGGCAAATTCAGACAGTAAGAACTAAAGTTGGCTAATTAATGAATTATTTGTCCAGCTCCAACTAGCAGCTGAAAGGGCAGTGTGAGAAGAGGAAGCCTTCTTGTGAGAAGAGCCTAATACATTCTTTCTGCCTAGAATAAAGTGATTGTTTGCTGAGAATTACAGCTAGCCTGAAGACTCGGGGCAGCTCTGAACTAGCTCTCTAGAACATTGACACCAGACCTTCCCACCCAGGAGAGGTAATTACCTTATCTGCTGGCTCTTTGACTGGCAGCTTCTCCTCCAGTTTCTCCAGGCCCTTGCAACCACCCTCATTTGCAATTGCAACTAGAGACAAGATATGAAGCATGTAGTCTCCAGGTTTACAGAGGGTACATGCAGACATATGCTAGAAAAATCAGTCATTTCATACATCAGAGAAGCATGCTTTTACTCAGTTGGCATTAGACTAGGCTGTTT